CAATTTCTTGAATGAATTTGGTGATTTGTTTTTAAATTCGTGCCCACCTCTATTGACAACCTCTTCAGAAACAGACTGGTCTAATTTTAGCTTCCAAACTCTGACAGCATTAACATCACTGACTGATTAAAATCTTTCTGTACCTTTCACACACTTATATACAAAAGAGAACATTTCTAGTGGGGAGCCATACAGATAAAAAAAAAGGCTCACTTTTCAATTCATAAACATTATTTTACACTTCTCCACTGTCTTAGCTTCCACTCCTGGCACACATCCCACATATAACTGTGAATCAACCCCAGTTACTCACTATTCAAACAAATGCTAAATTATTAACAAAGCACATTTATAGTGAAAAATTGCCACAACTGACTGTATGTATTCATAGAGGAAAACTTGGGAAAGGCACTGGAAACAAAACTAACCAGACACATAGGGCAGAATCCCACTGGGGCTTTATGCACGCACAAAAGGAAGAATGGAAATTGCCACGGCTAATTGCAGCTAATGGATGAGGCTCCAGGTTGCTTCTATACATACTACCATATGCATGACAGAATACATGGCCAATGTTAGACTGGTGTTTCATAGCAGCTGCAGCAGCTGCAATTAAACCCATGCATGCATAATGAGTCATGGTAGGATTATGTGCATTGTTTTGCACACTGAAGATGATTGGTCATGCCGTATTACTATCAGGCATGTATTAAATTGAATGGAATCACACACTAGTTTGGAAAGGATGATTGTTTTTTAATATATATCATGGTTTTTAGTATACAATAGGGACATGGTGGCGCTGCGGGCTAAACCGCAGAAGCCTGTGATTCAGGGTCAGAAGACCAAGCAGTTGTAAGATCGAATCCATGCGACGGAGTGAGTGCCCGTCGCTTGTCCCAGTTCCCGCCAACCTAGCAGTTCGAAAGCATGCAAATGCGAGTAGATTAATAGGGACCACCTCGGTGGGAAGGTAAACAGCGTTCCGGGTCTAAGTCGCGCTGGCCATGTGACCACGGAAACTGTCTTTGGACAAAACACTGGCTCTAGGGCTTGGGAACGGGAATCAGCACTGCCCCCTAGAGTCGAACATGACTGGACAAAAATTGTGAAGGGGAACCTTTACCTTTTAGTATACAACCATGGATATACTTGTTTGTCTAGGAATTAATTTTTTTTAGGAATTAGGAATATTTGAATTTATTTAATTCATTTCTGATTTTTATCTGGACTGGCAAGTTTAATTTCATTATGTGTTCATTGCTCTTTAGTTTTTCATTTTCAATATCTAGGGATTGTTGCCTCTATGCCTTTAATTGTTTTGAAATGTTAATAATCTGAATCACGAACACCAGATAACTTTTGTTCATGATGGGGCACCATTTCGGTTTTGAAATCTTCATTATCTAGAAATGTGCTGACCTCACTCAGTATTCTAGGTGTATGTTTGCCATGTCAATATTCCAGCAGTGTAAATGCATGCAGGTTTTTCTCTCCTCTTGTGTAAATCAGCCAAAGATTGGCAGTCTACTGTTGCTGTCAATCACGTCTGGAGTTCACAAAGTGGTTATCGACTACCCTGATAAAGGAATCATCGATTTTCCAATATATGTTGAAAATTAATTTAATAATTATAGGTACTCTTAGCCTGGTGTTTCTCTCCTGGTTTTGTTTATATATGTAGATTTTTTTTTAAAAAAAAACACACATTTTGTTCTACTGTTTGCTTTCCCATTCTTAATATACCAAAAACTCTCAGAAAAGAGTGGGGAATGTCCCTGAACACAAATAAGCCTGGTTCACATCCAGGATGGACAGAGCTGACCTGAGAAAGTGTGACTTTATATAGTCAGTCAGATTTGCGGGCCTGATCATTGAAGAAGCGACACTGTGCTTCCTGTTTGTAACACAGTGGCGTTGCTTTCTCCTGCTCAGAGAGTTAGCAACCTTTGCTCTCAGCAGGCTGTTCCAAAGCCCCCACTGGGTCAGGCTAAATTGCTCATGATGAGGCCTCAGCTCTAGTGATTTTTGGGTAGTTCTGCTGCCGCTGAATGGAAAGCCATGATTTAGCTATTAGGAACACTGCTGTTGTTATTACCACTGGAGCTCTTCTGAAAGCACAAAGATGGGTTTTGTGCCTCTGATGAAAATTATCCACAGGGCATCGCATTATTTCCTAGGTGAAAATGTGCCCTTTCAGGGAGATACTTTAATCCCTGCTATTATCACTTCTGTTAATTTCCCTCCACTTTCTGCTGTATTGCTTGTCTGTTCATCCCAGGAATTGGCTGTTGCGTTAGCTGTAGGAGTTCTAAATTCAATAATATGTACATATGTATGGATGTATATCTGGAGTACTTAGGGGGTTAATTTAGATGAAAGGAATTGTGTGGGTTTTTGTGGGGTCCCATTCTCATACTGAGATGCACAGGATATACAGGCGTACCTCTGTTTACGAGTGCCTCAGTTAATGTAATTGTTGGTTTACGAAGGAAACTTCATTGAAAATAATGGCTCTGTTTATGAATTTTTTCACAATATGGAGCAAGTTTCCCCAGGATGCATTGCGCCTGGGAGGTTTATAGCATCGCTCCTATGGGAATACGCATTTTCGATTTATTAATTTTTCGCAATACAAAATGTCCTGGAGAATGCATTAAATTTGTAAACCGAGGTACCACTGTAATAGGTTTGGTATTGGAAGGATGGACGATGATAGATGGTCTCATGATACAGTTCTGATATTATGCCTTACAATGTATGCATTTGCTATGTCATTCCTGGTTATGTCTGGTGACCACCTGTTTCGGTATTTGAAGGATGAATGGTGCTAATCATTGTGGGACCACCTTATGAAGTGCCATGAACCTGAGGAGGAAGTAAAACTTAATTCTGAAATACCAGGGATGTCTACTTGGACATACAATGGATCCAAACAACACCATTGTGATTTGCCAGTGACTAAAAAAGTGGAAAAGACTCTGATGCTGGGAAAGTGTGAAGGCAAGAGGAGAAAGGGATAACAGAGGACGAGGTGGTTGGACAGGGTCATACAAGCGACCAACATGACTTTGACCGGGAGGCAGTGGAAGACAGGAGGGCCTGGCATGCTCTGGTCCATGGGGTCACAAAGAGTTGGACACAACTTAAGGACTAAACAACAAACAACAACAAAAGTCCTAGCTGGGCATGGAAAGAGTGAGCAGGGAGAGAATGCTCATCATCCTTCATAGTCTGTCATTGTCTCCCTAATGAGAGGGACCGTCTAAAGAGGGCCAGTTTAGTGGAGTCCTAGCTGGGCAAGGAAAGAGTGAACAGGGAGAGAATGCTTGTCATCCTTCATAGTCTGTCAGTATCTCTCTAGTGAGAGGGACCGTCTAAAGAGGGCCAGTTTCTGCTACTGGTAGAGTCATTCCACCTGACGGTGGACACTGAACCATCCGGGCTGCGGATCATACACAATGACTCCATCAAGGAGCATAGAATGACTGTTCAGACAGCCTTTCAACATGTGGAATACAATTCTCCCCTGCCCATTCTTGCAAGTTGACCTTTTAAAAATACTTGAACACGGTTAAAGTCTATCAAAGAAGGCATTTGAATGCTCAACACTTCAAGGGAAAAAAGTGTTTCTTTAGCCACTTTGTAAATCTTCTTATGAACGTGTCCTAACAATTCAGCAACTCAGGTGGTGCGTCTTCATCCTTGCCCTGCAAAGTGCAGTGGCATGTTCCAGAATAAAGAGATAAAAGAGGTATATACTGTATGTGTTCAGCTTTGTTGAACACTGTGTGTATCATGGCATCATCTGCTTTGGATTTCTGCACTTAGCAGGGGGTTTTACTCCATGACCTTATAAGCCTCTTCCAGCTCCATTATTCTATGATTCTATGTGGTCTCTGACTGCCTTATAGACCCTTTACTCACTTTGCACTCTGCAATGATAATAATTTTGATGAGCATCTTACAAGACTACAACATTAGTTCTCCCCTGGTAATTTAATATGATGGGTATGTAATTGTTTATTTTTTCTGGTCCCTTTGTAAACATCTGTTTATTGCAAATATTTGAGTTAATAAGAGAGGAACAGGTATGTTTGCTGACAGTGCTAATCCTGAAAATAAAATCAGTTATCCGTTTGATTTTACAGCATTCGAAGTTTTGGAATCGTAGATATAGCTTGTCCTGTTTCTGCATCAGCTGGTGAGTTGTTCTGCAAAATATCTGCCCAAAAACTCACAGGTATTTTCTATGCATTTCTCCAAATGAATGCATTTTTGTAAGCATTTCTCATAATGCTTTCTGCCAGAGAAATGCATTAATAAATATATATATTACATCAGTGCAAGTGTTCTCCACATACACACGAGAAAGGACTTCTGTAATTCCAGCTGAACTTTTTGTAGCTCCCCCCTCCCATGCAGTGATGGGAAAAGTTTCTTTTTTTGAGGGTGGCTATGGCATAAAATCATATACTAAAATGTGCATGCTAAGGTGAAGCATACAAAACTATATAAGACGGGAGAGACATCACTATGTATTCACTAGCTGGCAGTGAGCTAAAACCCGAATCATCTGTATTCGCTTAAGTCCTAGGAAAAGCAAAATATAATTTGTGATAAAATACTGGTGATTATGCAATCTAGCCCACGGCTCCATCCCTTAAGGAAACATATTGTGTTGTCAGTTACATAACCGGATGGAGATAGTTTAGCTCCTCGCACAGCACACCACAACCAGCTTCCACCTCCTGCATGATAAAATGGGGGCAAATAAAGTTTGGGAAAAAAGGAGAATAATCATCGAAGGAAATAAAAGTGTTACCACCTTTTTGGGGGGTTTTTTGGTTGTTTTTTAAAGATGCAATCTGGATTTTTAGAACTCCTGCTGAGCCAATTTCTCTAAGTGCCTATATAAAAGCTGACCCTAATCCACCATTACGTATTGCTAAACCATCGTCCTTAAGCCCTTGCTTATCCCATTTGCCGGACTCTGCAGCCTAAGCCCACACGGGAGGCAGACCTTCAGCGGCAGCCCGCGCAAAGCTGTCCGGCCACCAGCAGGAAAGATCACAGTGTGGAATGATAACGCAACGAGCGAAACAAGAGCTACCTGGACGGCTAGTAAGTATGCTGGAGGGCAAGGGTGTTCTTATAGATATTTTGTACTGGGTTTTCTTTTCTTTCTTTTTTTTTAAAAGAAGCTAATGCAACAGTGTTTTGATGCCATTTCTGAAAGCAAAAAGTGGCTCTAAGAGAACCACCAGTTGAAATAGCTTTTATCCTGGAGACTTTTCAAATGTTTTCCCTTGTCCCCAATGTTGAGTGTGGTGCTGCAGTGGTTTATTTGGGTCAGGGAAGGGCTAAGCATCCCAAAATTTCCTGATCCATCATTAAATAAATACATAGAGAGACAGGGGTGTTCTCTCCAACTTCCCTTCTTCCATGATCACTGCAGCTCACTGTTTACGTATGGTATGTCTCCAGAGGCAAAAATGCTCAAAATGACCCTGTCCTACTGAGAAGACGGGATTCTCTGGAAAAAGACAGTAATGCTGAGAAAGGTGGAAGGCAGTAGGAAAAGAGAAGACCCTGTACAAGATGGACTGACTTCCTAAAGGAAGCCACAGGCTTGAGTTTGCAAGAGCTGGACAGGGCAGTTGAGGACAGGGCATTTTGGAGATGGCTCATTCATGGGGTCACTGTAAGTCAGAGGTGACTGGCCAGCACATCAGAACAACATATAGTAAGCTGCACAAAGTCTTTTTTTTTCTCCTAGAAGAAAGAGAAAGAAAGCAGAGAAAATAAAGAGAAGTGGAGAGAAAAACGTTTGCCTGCCTATAGGATAATATTGTTGTTGTTGTTTAGTCATTAAGTCATGTCCGACTCTTCGTGACCCCATGGACCAGAGCACGCCAGGCCCTCCTGTCTTCCACTGCCTCCTGGAGTTGGGTCAAATTCATGTTGATCGCTTTGGTGACCCTGTCCAACCATCTCATCCTCTGCCATCCCCTTCTCCTCCTGCCTTCACAATTTCCCAACATCAGGGTCTTTTCCAGGCAGTCTTCTCTTCTCATGAGATGGGCCAAGTGTTGGAGCCTCAGCTTCAGGATCTGTCCTTCCAGTGAGCACTCAGGGTTGATTTCTTTCAAAATGGATAGATTTGTTCTCTTTGCAGTCCAGGGGACTCTCAAGAGTCTCCTCCAGCGTAGGATAATCTTGCAGTAAGCCAAATATACTAAGAAGTTGTGTCAGACTGTATGTCTTTAGCCCGGTATTGTCAAGTCTGTCCGACCAGGATTCTCTGTGTTTTCCGGCAAGGATTCTTTCTGACCTCTAGCTTGTAATCCTGGGAATGGAACCTGCAAACTTTTACATAAAAATCGTGTTGTCTACCATGTAGATGTCCTCCTGCACCAGTGACATTTCCAGGTTGCCCATGGAAATTGAAATGAGACTCTGGTTTTCTCCCCTCCCGGCTTTTGCTTTGCCCAGGAAATTGGCAAATCCTGTGCAAGTTGGTGCCCATTTCAGGAAATGTTGCAAAGAAAATATGCCCAGAATTGTAATAGATCCTGTGCATTTCTCCTGCTCTCTTTGTGTGTGAATGATGTGCAGGAAAGATGCCATCCTGCGCAGGAAGTGTCACGATCCTGCATGGATTGGCTTTTCTTCTGACTGTTCCAGGTGAATTCTGCACGGGAACGATGCCATTCTCTGCAGGACTGGCAATAATTGTGAGTAGCTTGGCATCGCTTACAGGAAAAATCATGAGCAGATTTCTGAATCCCTCAAGGTTTCCTGTGAGATTTCTCATAGAAATACTAAAACAAAAATCAGAAATGCCCATACAGAGAAATCTCAGCAGAGGGAGTAAAGAGGATTTCCCCCAAACCCCCTCCCCCCGTTACTTTCTCAGAATGAGAGGTTGTGAGGATCACATTCCTCATAAAGTGACTTCCTATTATCCAATATTTCTTTAAAAGCAGCAACGCTCTTGTAGCTTCAAAGCAGGACTGCACTCTGAGGGACCCACACAGCCAAACATAGCTCAGAGTCATCTCTTTGGCAGCCTCCGCATCTCTCTGTGTTGGAGTTGCAAAGAGAAAGCAAAATTGGGGTTTTTAATTGAACTTCTAGTAGTCAGCCTGCATGGGCCTCACTCCTAGTAAGATAGAAAACTTATGCCTGGTCTGCCACTTTGAATGATGGGTGGAAATGTTGCATAATGGAATAAATAGCCTTCCACATGTTTGTTCTTGTTTCAGTCCCTCCCACTTACAGCTCCAGATGCTAAGGAAGAAATAAGTTTCCTCTTGTCAGGCTAGCTGTAGAGAGAGTTCTTGGGCATAAGGAACAGTTTCATCATATTGTTGTTTAGTCGTTAAGTCGTGTCCGACTCTTCGTGACCCCATGGACCAAAGCACGTCAGGCCCTCCTGTCTTCCACGGCCTCTCAGAGTTGGGTCAAATTAATGGTGGTTGCTTCGCAGACATTGTCCAACCATCTCATCCTCTGTCGTCCCCTTCTCCTCTTGCCCTCAACTTTTCCAACATCAAGGTTTTTTCCAAGGAGTCTTTTCTTCTCATGAGATGGCCAAAGTACTGGAGCCTCAGATTCAGGATCTGTCCTTCCAGTCAGCACTCAGGGTTTTGATTTCCTTCAAAATGGATAGGTTTGTTCTCCTTGCAGTCCAGAGGACTATCAAGAGCCTCCTCCAGCACCACAATTCCAAAGCACCAGTTCTTTGGCAGTCAGCCTTCTTTATGGTCCAGCTCTCACTTCCATACATTGTTATTCATCATATTAGAAAATATGTAATATGTCTTTGATGAGTGCTGAGAACAGGACAGTCTGCTACGATCAATCACAGTAACAATGACCACTTTTTGTCCTGTCCTTTCTGACTTATGGTGACCCTCACAGAATTTACCAATGTAGTTCCAAAGTGGTTCGCTAGTCCCTCCTTCTGCCGGCTCTCTGGAACTGTGTAGCTTGCCTAAGGCTGCACATGTGGCAGAGATGTGACCTTATCATGTGCCTCTGAGCAATCTCAGCAGGTCCCTCTCCTGATAGGCACAGAGGGCATTTGAATGACCACTCTTTACTTTGGCAGCAAGTGGCTCCAAACCAGTGAGGTATATCAGCTTGACTGCTCCTCCAATAACATGGAGGAGTAAGTTTTTTCTTTTTGCTTTCATAGAATCATAAAATATGTGAGTTGGAAGGGGCTTGTAAGGCCATTGAGTCCAGCACAAGGCAGGAATCCAGATCAAAACAGATCTGATGGATGGTGGTCCAGTCTTCTCTGGAATGCCTCCAGCATTGGAGCACTCACCACCTCTTGAGGTCACTGGTTCCCTTGTTATACTGCTCTAACAGTTAAGAAGTTTTTCCTGATATTCAGCCTGAATTCCAGCTTCCTGTAGCTTTTAGAAGGGGCTTGTAAGGCCATTGAGTCCAGCCCAAGGCAGGAATCCAGATCAAAAGAGATCTGATGGATGGTGGTCCAATCTTCTCTGGAATGCCTCCAGCACTGGAGCACTCACCACCTCTTGAGGTCACTGGTTCCCTTGTTATACTGCTCTAACAGTTAAGAAGTTTTTCCTGATATTCAGCCTGAATTCCAGCTTCCTGTAGCTTCAGCCCATTATTACGTGTCCTTTGAAAGATGGATAGGGATCACACAGGAAATAAAGCCCAGCTCAATGCTCAGCCTGAAGTTGTTACCTGTCCATCTGACATATACTGTATTTTATCGTGTACACCACTGGTTCTTAACCTTGGGTAACTCAGGAGTTTTGGACTGCAACTCCCAGAAGCCTTCACCACCAACTGTGCTGGCTGGGGTTTCTGGGAGTTGCAGTTCAAAAACATCCGAGTAACAAAGGTTAAGAACCACTGGTGTATACGACCCCACAATGCGTAAAATGACCCCCTAATTTTGACTCTTGATGGAGGCCTGACATATACTGTATTTTATCGTGTATAAGACCCCACAATGCATAAAATGACCCCCTAATTTTGACCCTTGATGAAGGCAGAAGAGCAGTTAATGGGCAACTGCTCCTCCACCTCCATCTCCTGCTGTTGCTGCCTCCGTTGCCCACCCGATTACCTCCTCCAGTGTGACTGCTGGGGTTCTTTCTTTCAATATGTGTTTATTATTGATTGTATTTACCATTCTTAATATAATACTGCTTTAATCCATTTTACATATTTGTATACTTACTGTTTTTAAGCTTTTAAATATTGTTTGGTTTTGTTCTTCAATGATGTAAGGCGCCTTGGGGGCTTTTTAAGGAGAAAGGTGGGGGATGGATGGATGGATGGATGGATGGATGGATGGATGGATGGATGGATGGATGGATGGATGGATGGATGGATGGATGGATGGATAGATAGATAGATAGATAGATAGATAGATAGATA